CACTTACATATATAAGAAATGAAATACGAAGGAGAAAAAGACTTCATTTCTACTTAATATTACGATAAGGGAGAGTAACTATTAGTGTCGTCGATTAATCTTGCGAGAATATTGTTCTCTTCAAAATGATGCCTGATGTTGCGACATCGTCGCGGCGCATTAAAATTCAAAGCTCCACCATTATTTGCAAGCAGCCTTTCTAATGTATCGCGCGTGCCAAAGTCGACGACCGACATGTACGAAAAAAGTTCACCACTTTATTAACTTTGAGACTTTTTACGAAAACGTCCGTTAACATTTTTAATACATTTATGCTCCTCAAAATCACGTAAATCTGCTAATGATGAAACTCATATTCGAAAAGGATCAATTGAAAGTTCAAACGGATCGCGCAGTCGTTGGTCTCGGCTTTAATTAGGTAATCTTTCTCACAATGACCCCTGATGTTCGTGCTCGTTTTTGATGAAAATTTTCCATCGTTTTTCTCTGTACAAATATCTGCTTTATTACTTGTCTCTTTTTTTTCTCGAAAGTCACAACGAAATTAATTTTCAACGCGATCGATTTGCTGGATATCGAGAGTCTGATGGTCGCCGCGTCTTTCAAAGTAAAATAATACCATGGTCGAAAAAGTCACGTCAATTAGCCTTAAGGGTTTCTTACGAAACTCACGATTAGAGTTTAAACAGCCACGGGACCACGATATATACATATATATATAATACCGCAGCAATTCTGGTTCTTGCGGACAAAGTGTACCGTTTAAACAGACTGCCACGGAATCCACCACGCTCACCGCGAACCACGGTAAGAAATTTAATATCCGCGTCCAGAAGGATTATTTAAAATGCCCGCTAGCTATGTTATCAGTAAAAAAGTTTTTCAAGTAAACCATATCATACACCCGTGCTCCCTTCACGTCAATCCCGGATTGCTCACAGTTTTGGTAATCCCTGCCTTTCTGGTATTTTTCAAGAATAATATCAAAATTGTGTATAAAATTATTTGCGAAATTGATCAATTATTTAACAATCTTTTACATGTGAAATGTAAATTACACGACGATGAATATTATAAATGAAAATGACAATTGATATAAATATATTGCAAATTTCTAGTGGAATAATGTTTGAAAAAAAAATTGAAAATTTATCCTTTAAATTTTAACAAAAAAACAGTGATTTATAGTCTAATCAGGACATTAAAGGAAATCGAATACGTCACACGAGATTATGCGGAATTGTCTCTCGCTTGCGGCTGTCTCGAGAATGCCATTACGTCTACAACGATGAAGCCATTACGGTGAGGCAAATATACGTCGAGAGTATTTTTCTATCGACGCGAAGCGTCTTTGGAAGCGTCAACAAGATGGGCGCCGCCGAGAAGGCGATGAGTTCCAATCGATTGCCACTTGTCATTCGCATATTCGTAGCTGCTCCACTCATCCGCCGAACAAAGCGTGCGCCTAACGTGTGTACGTTCCGAGATGAGTGCAGAAAAAGACAAGGAAGGGGAAAAAAGAGAGAGAAGGAATCAATAAAAGCATTTACTCTACCTTCAAAAGAACGGAGGAGAAGGAGAGGCCGGTCGGGCCGAAAGAGCGAAGGGTGGCGATAATGAACAAGAGGAGCCGAAGAGAAAGGGAGACAGGCTCGCTATCAGGACACAGAGAGATGCAGGGAAAGAGGGAACAAGAGGACGAACGCGCCGGCCCGGTTTGATTTCATCCGATAGGTTCGCAATAACAGTGCAAATTATTATTCCGCTCCCGTCCACATCGATCGATATGTCGCTCTGGATCTATATATTGCATGGCTATGATCTGGAAGCCGACACTGCCGACCTTCCCTACCGAGTAACCCCGGAATTAACCCAGGCAAAGCAGGACGGTGGGAGACAAAAAGAGAATGGGAGAGAGAAAGAGAGAGACAGAGATTCCCAAAGTGAGTACTCATGGAGCAGAAAAATATCGACAGATTGTGCGCTCGCGCGCGCCCACGCGCACCCACACGTGTGTGTAAAGAACGACGCTTTTAATAACCGATAATATTTAACGTGCGCCGAATTCAATTTATAGGAAAAACAGAGTTACGTTGTTCCTCCTCCATCGTGAGATGATTCGACAATCGTCGGCGATTTTTCCAGCGACCGCAAAAATCGCGAAACGCACCGTCCGTTCTTTCTCGGGCGCGATGTGAAAAAAAGTTCTCTCCGATTTATTTGCCGACAATAGATACCGCCGAAATGTCGGCGTATATCGGCGTTATTTATCCCCAAATATCGCCGATATTACGTCACCGCGCGTTGCAACGAGTCAGAAAATCAGAGCGCGCTCCTTCGACATTTCCAATGGTTTTTCGCGAAAAATAGTAGTTCGGAGGAAAAATTACTCGAAGATCCGCATATGTACTATTTTCAGGTATTACGAGTTGTAAATAGATGCAAATACGTGACATTTCGCTTTTAATTTAATTTCGAGTCGATTGTCGAATTTAAGAAAATATTTAAAGAGCTCGATTACAGAAATATATATATCCGATAATGCGCGCGACCCGGTTGTACATTTTCTATAATTATGAACTAAAAGTGATATGCTTAAAATCCGACACGCGACACCGGGGAATCTACACGGGCGAGTGAATGATATCGTATCGTATCGCGCCGTGTATCACAAAGGTAACGCGTGAATTTATCCCGATACACCGTCGTTACAATAGTGGGATGAGTGACGGCGCGCTCTGACGTTCGAAGCCAGAAAAATATTGAAAAATTGACGGACGCGCGCTGCTACGGGCCTGTTGCTCTGTGTGTAGTGTTTAATAATGGATAATATTTGATACCAGATCCGCCCGGGGGCGGATATCATCGATGCCCATTCGTCAGCGCCATACGCCCCGTGCGCGCCAAACAGTTTTATAGCAAAAATCCAAAATATAATAGAATAACCCCTTTCAGAAGCGGTTCAATCGCGTCTTTTTTAGACTTAAAAACTTTGCAGCGATATATATTGGCTAAAAATACTTTACTTATTATCCGGTTTTTTATTACACGCGATGCACATATATATCTGTGTTTTCTATATTTAAAATACTGGATAAATATTGGAAAAGAATTCTTTTTTTACCGAAGAATATAGATTTTATGAGAGAGAAAATTTGCTAGAATTTTAACGAAGACAAGAAAGTGGAGCGATATAATGGATTTCCAGTGATAAAATGGACTACCAATTTTATGCATAACGAGAATTCGCAGCTTTTTTAATGATATTATAATAAATGTTAATTTTATCATTTAGAATTATGTTTCGCCCGGTTTACCCAACCACTTTGATTACTCACCCGATTTTGTTTCGTTGTCAGCATACTTTCGCCAACTAAATCACATTATGAAATAATGATGTCACTAATTATCGGTAGTATCAGGTCTTAATTGAATAGATATTGACAAATATTTTATTTCATTATCATAAACATATACAGGGTGTCTGCTAAACATGCGGCAAAAATTCAAGGGGTGATTTAGTGGGTTATTTTAAGACTTTTTTGTTATCTGATGATTTTCGAAAAAATGCTTTGTTTCGAAAATAAAAGCAATAAAAGTTTTTTGACCAATTTTTTATTCCATAGATAACAGGCGATACAGGTTTTTTAACAAAATTATTGAAAATTACAAGAAAAAAAAAAAAAATTTGTCAAAAACTTTTATTGCTTTTATTTTCGAAACAAAGCATTTTTTCGAAAAATTGATCAAAAAACTTTTATTGCTTTTATTTTCGAAACAAAGCATTTTTTCGAAAATCAGATAACAAAAAAGTCTTAAAATAACCCAATAAATCACCCCCTGAATTTTTGTCGCATGTTTAGCAGACACCCTGTATATTCATTGTAGTTGGATGTGTTATCTATAGTAAGGTGTCAGTTGGCGCAAAAGCGGGATAATTTTCTGCACACTGACGTAATAAATTATCCTTGGACTCGGAGAATAGCGTACAAGCATGGCATTTTCCTTTATCGAAATGAATATTGTAATTTCCAAGCGGCTTTCCTTTTGCCACGTTGCATTGTCTTTTTTTTTTCTTCTTCTATTATTTTTCCATTTTTGTTTTTGTTACGAAAGCCTTTTCCTTTTGCCACGATTTATATCGTTGCTTTCTTCGGTTTGCAAGAAATTTACGTATACGCAGCGGGAAGTTGCAGTTTTGCAAACGGTGGATACGCGCGAGTTTTCTCTAACAATAATTTTTGTCCGCATCGAAAAATGCAAATTTAGTGAAAATCGCTTGTTTACTATTTTTTTGCAGAATATAATAAATATTTTTAAATTCTTATATTTTATTCAGATTTCGTCATTATTCAAGCGTATTTTAAAAATATACATATGATATTTTTTATAAATCGCGGCAGCATTTTTTTCCGATAAAGCATCATCCGGTGAAAATTTGCAATAGTTTACTGCGAAGCTTTTCAATTATGAATAGCTACTATACGTGCAAATACATATCTTTCAAATCTCTCTGTATCGATCTTTAAATATGTACATGTATGCGCGATCTTTGTATATCCTTACGTCGCATCAAACATTCTATCGTATAGATTGCCATACACCGAATATGTATTGCGTGTACACCGTGAAGAAGGATATCTCTGGTAGTCGCGAAACTCTGTAGTATTTGCGTCTACTTCGTGAAACTCGAGAAGATAGTAATTTGAAGCTCTCGTCGAGGGTTTGGCGAGTGTTTATTCCGGAAGTACATATCGCGCTATCTGCGACGCACGTCGGGACATACGTGGATGGAATATTCATAACGCTCTTACGCCTTCTCACCATTCGTTGTAAATGACTTGCAAATGTTTCGCTAATTACAATACAGAGCCGTGCGGGAAACTCGCTTAAACTCGGCTAATGAGTAATACGAAATAGCGCAACGCGAGCGAGAGAGAGAAAGGCACGAGTGAATGACCATTGGGTCTCTGTATTTATTTATATTTCTATTATTACAGGCAGGAGCTTCGACGAAAGAGGGAAGAATGCGAACGTTTCTTAAAAGTCAACGAGAAGTCTCTGGTGCTCGTCGATCCCGTCAATAACATTGACAAGGTGACTCGATTAATCTTGAATGAACAGAAAGGTACGTTGCATTTTTGAGAGAGGTGCATATATACAGGATGTTTCTTAATAAGTGTGAAAAATTTTAGGAGATGATTCTTTGTCGAAAATTGAGGGGGGTTTTTCGTATAAACTTGCACTCCAACATGCCTCCCTGTGGAATTACATTCCTCCAAAAATGGAGGTAAAAATTAGGTTTTTATTTTTTTCTCAAATTTGAAACAAGTTAAAGAAATGAAATTAGGTGGATATTTTCTAATAGTAAAAAGGTTATTTATTAATATTTCTTTCAGCCTCCCGTATTGTTATAAGAGAATGAAACTAGCAACCCCTATTCAATTTTTTATTAAAATTTTTTAATAGGCCGGAATATGATCATCTAAAAATATACATTAAAAAGTTTGAGTTATTTAGAAACTTTATTTGTTTTATTTTTTCATAAATTCAGTAATTTACAAGAAAAAAAAAATACGTTACGAAAATACGTTACGAAAATTGGAACAAAACAAAATTATAATAGAAACCTAAAAAATAAACCCTAATTTTTACTCCCATTTTTGGAGGAGTGTAATTCCACAGGGAAGAATGCAGGAGTATATATTTCATATATTTATATGAAAAACTCCTCAATTTTCAATAAAGAATCATCTTCTAAAATTTTTCATACTTATAAGACCGTAGTGTGTATTTTAATTTTAAAAAATATTTGAAAATTTGAGAAAATTGTCCAAATTGCACGAGTTCAGAGAGCTTGGTGTTTAAGCTGATTATCCTCAAAATGGTAAAACATTACTGCACCATATGACACATTAAGAGTCATACTTGCGAGAATAGTATTACGCAAGGCGTGTAATGTTTATCATGGACGTGGTTTTAAGTGTAATCTGCGGGGATAACGAGAGGTTAGCGAGGCAAGATTGGCGTCAATATCGTTGCCTCGTGTATAAGAGAGGTAGAGATAGAGAGAGAGAGAGAGAGATGTATATATGAAGAGGTCGAGAGATCTGCAATAAAGGCGGAGTAATAATGTCGCGTGCGCAATACCGTTCTTCTCTGTCCCGTGTATCCGACTTCAAAATGCAGGAACCATTCTCGGATTATGCGCTCCTCGGTATTGTCTCGCGTCTATTGACTCCCTTAGAAACTGTACTAGAGATGGCTTCTCGGGATATGTCATTTTCGAACACGCCGAGTGGAATAAGGAGCACCCCCGCTGTAGAAGGGGCGGAGTTCCTTGATATATAACAAAAATTACAACGACTATTAGCTTTAATCGTTGGATACGCTATCGAAGCACCGACGATATTATCGATAAACGAAAGCAGATAACATCGAATAACGCAAATCAAATCACTCGGAAGGGATGTGAACGTGTACAAACGACGAGGATTATACACGCATACACGCATATACGGAAAGAGAAATGCGCGCGACGAAGCACAATGTGATCAGATACTCGATATTTCGAGGCGCGAGTAGTCGAGTATATTGAATCGCGTTTCTCCTTGAGTTAATTACGTGCATTCGCAGAATACACCTGCCCATGCACCAGACCGCGCGTCCTTTACGTCTCGTTCAATCCGCGCGTCATAAACACATGCGGTTGCGGCAAGTGCGACAGGAAGAGAGAGAGAGAGAGAGAGAGAGAGAGGGTGAGCGGGGTGCGATGAGTCAGGCACGTATTCTTTGCAGAAATTCTGCGGCGCGCGCAGTGACTTTACGAACGATATCGAGTTTCGCCCCGTGGTAGAGTCGTCGTGGCATTGTCGGCGAAAATCCTATTCACCGTCGTGGCGGCAAGCGCGATTCCCGCGTCGCACAAAAGCAGCCACCGCCGCCGTCGCCCCGCAAAATATGTGATTCGCGAAACCCGGCTTAAGACCCCCGCGCTCCGTGACGTCGCGTAAACTTGCATTCTCACCATCCATCGCATTTCTCCGGCAACCACTCTCTGGATAGATTTAACGTCACTCCGCAAGCCGCATCCTCCCTTTGTCCCGCCATTTTTCGCTACAACCCCTCTTCCCCTGCTCGCGCGATTTAACCGCGATCAAAGAGGGGTATTTATCGGTTCTGGAAATATGTCAGTCGCGAAAATTGCGATCGTTTATTACGAGTAATTGTTACGCAATGTTGCCGAACAATCTACAGTAAAAAATAAAATGTTAATTATAGCATATAATTATTATATAATTAGCATATAATTATTTATATTTCATATGTCCCAGAAAGTCCGTTCTAAATTTTAAATTAAAATGACTCATTCGTCGTACACAGAGAAAAATATCATTCTACTGTCAAGAAAAGCGATTACTCAATTTATTTTTCTTTTTTTAAGTAATAGTTTTCTTCAACAAAGAATATATTCTTAATAATAGTCTTAAAATATACTCACAAGTGTTGGAAAATCTTATTATCATGTACTCAAAAGAAGAATTTATTTTCTCTTCAAGAATATTGTAAAGTTGTTTAAAAAGAAATCAAATTTATTTTACGTCAACTCTTGTAGTAAGCAAACCAAATTTTTGTTTTAATTTAATATTCTTGAAGACTAAAATACTGCACTTACTAAAATTCAGAATATATTCAATTTAATGCTTGCGGTGAATTTATGTTATATTTGCGGATATATGGTACAAACTTATGATATACTTAAAATAAATAATATTTATTTGAATACAGTATACATTTTTCTCTGTGTATGTTACTTATTGACAAACTAAAAATGTTAAATAATTCACACGATACTTTACATTAATTTTTGTTATTATGACTTTAAGTGTAAAAATAACATACAAGTTAAAAATTACATGAAAAAAATAGTTTCAATAACTCGTAAGAAATGTTGAGGATATTAACATATAATAGTAATTATTTTAATTTAAATTATTTGTAAGAAACATTTGATTTTAATAAATTCGGTTATTTCTCTATGTCAAAGTTCAAGATTATTTGAAGATTCACTTTAACTTTTTTTAGAATGTTAAACTGACTTTGAGACATGTTGATTGTTTAAAATGATTATATTAAAAATACTCAAAATAATATTCCATTTCTAAGAGACATACTATATACAAAGTGTTAAATTATGAAGTTGACATAAATGTAACACATAAAAACGTTGTAAAAATAATAACATATAGGTTGTATGTTAATTTTACATTTTAAAATACATTTTAAAATACTAATCAAAACGTGGTAACACAAGAAATTTTAACATATGGACGCACAATTTTTTCACTGTGTACTTTTCGAGCGCTCGATAAAAATTGTGTAACGCGATGTCAAAGTGCGGCGGATTCGAATAATTCATTTCCACATAGAATCTCCAGCTCATAGCTCATTCCCTGTTTTTGCGCACAAGCAAGAGAGCTGCGTTCGTCCTGTTGCGACATGGATCGCACAACTCGTAATTCCATTCGCGTAACCCTTGGAGCGGAGGGCAACTCGGTTAAAGCTCTCCGTTTTACGGTTACGACAGATCTACTCCTCGATATCTTATCGATTCACACTCACTGCGCTCACCGCGGATGCGTTTAACCGCGTTCGCATCGTTCGTTCGTTCGTTCATTTGTTCCTGAAGAAGCTGCATCGTTGTCGTCGCCGTCGTCGATGGGAACTAGGGGGAACGACGGTGTCGGGAACGGGGGAGAATAGCAAATTGAATGCCGCGGAAGCGTGTCGAGGCGAAGCTTGGGCTCCCTCTGCGGAAAACGACACCGTGTCTCTCCAGCCTTTCCTCTCTCCTACTTTGAGATCGATGGGGAATCGAGTTATCGGCCTTAGTAGATCGAGCGTACCTGCACCGCGTTAACCCACGAAACTTTATTGCCGATGCACCGCATCGCGCGAACCTACGCGTGCCTGGACTCGCGAATTCCGGAAAATCGACTCCCTCTCGCATCCCTCTAGCCTTTCTCCTCTCTTCTTTCGGACACAGTTACCCTCGATCTTGGTAAACCTCCCTCCCCTGCCCATCCTTCCCTTCGGCGTGAGAAACTTCTTCCTTTCGCGCGGCTTTCCGACTTCCGGTGGGCAAGAGACGATCGCCGGAAGTGATCCAGCTAGCTTCTCCACACCACGATTGCTTGATTCACGAGATTCCCTCGTAATGAAAGTCGATATCGCGATACGCGTGAAAAATGAAGCACATCTCGAACGATAAGTATTATTATTGTAGCTGCAAATTTTGTAGATGATTGTCTGTACATTTTAAAATTGCGTGTAAAGGGAATTAAAGATCGAAACTGTATCTTAATAAAAAATATCGACAAAGATACTTGAAAATGCAGTGAATTTCTTTTTTATTATTGTCGTCGATTTTATAGAGAACAAAAAATATCTTGGATATTCTCCGAAGATGTATCGGATGTATTTCTAGGGTCTATTTGTTAGATATGTTTGACGATGCAGATAACGCGTGCGGTTAACAATGTGAAAACTCGATACCGCGGTCGGATGTAAAAAAGGTTGATGAAAAATTGCAATTCTCCGCGGATTTTCTTCTTTCATCCGTCCTGTATTCCCGATTAAAAATTGTCGACCATAGTTCGGTAACTCAGTTTGACAGTCGAATATCCAGCCACTCATCCAGATGACGTACGGTGGAAGGGTAACCGATTGTTGACGTCGAGTCTCAAAACGGTGCGACGTTTATACGAGCGGTGCCGAGAGAAGCGGGAGACAAAAGCGCGCGCTTTATTCCATATCGAGTGGCGGATTCGAGTTTCTATGGTCGGATTAACGCCCTCTCCCCCTCTTTCTCTACCTCGTTCTTCGTGGTATCGGTGTACGGGCTTTACGTTTGATTCTCCCCCGAAACTTCTGGCAAGTTGCATTAGGACTGAACTATGCGCGCGAGCAGTATTGATCCTTGATAGTTTGCAAACGCCCGGCAAGAATAATTCGCGATACCGAGTAACGAGCTTAATCTGGCAAGTCACTCTGGCGGCTATCGATCCCGCGTCTCTTGTTGTTTTGTTCGAGGTATTAGCGTCTGGCGTGCATTAGACGCGTCGAAAA